GAAAGCTTTCAGTTAAATCCCATCAACACGATGAATCCAATAAAATTTCGTCCACCAAAATCAGTATTATTATTTCTCGAAATTCCCATAAAGTACACAAATCCCATAAAAGTACAATCTCCCAACATCCCCCGAATACATATGTACATACAAACAAACATAATTCATCACGCGTACAAAATACGCACATTCGCGGTAACTATGAGAGATTCGTGGCAAAGTGTGTAAAAGATGGAAAGAAAATCCGACGGCGAGAAAAATATAAAACGGGAGCAAAGACGTGACAAAGTAGCACGCGTTAAAAAGGAAAAAGTTCCAACGTTATTGTATTTGTACACATGTACAGCCGAGCGATTATTTGTCGGTCAACATCTTTTTGCTTTCATCCGGCAATTCAGTTTCGACGTTCAGTCCCCTTTTGCAAATGTTTCCTGCTTGGCAACTATCCTGGAATCTCGATACGTGGCCAGCCTTACGGTTCTTACGAGATTGCCCGCCGCCACTCCAACTATAGCAATCGCTTCGTTTCCTGCGAACAACTTCGGACGAGATAAAAAAAAAAAAAAGAAGAAGAAGAAGAAGAAGATTATGCTCCAATCGTGATCACGGATCATTTACCACGGTACACACGGACGAATCTCCAATATTCATAAATATCCTCGAGAGGTATTGCTCTCGAACCGGTTAATTGTTATGTAATAAATGTTAAATTATTGCACCGTTCATTGCGGAATTTCTCGACGGTGAATTCTTGAATTTTGTTGTTTGTTATTTATCAAAACTTAGATTTTACTGCGACAAGATTCTGCAATGTGGTGTGTTTAATTGCAGAACGTTAAGAGATAATATATGATAATGTAGAATTCATTAAATGTTTAACAGTATCTATATCACTGAAATATCATTGTCGAACATTTGCATTGATCATTATGAAACATCACTTACATTTATTCGTTGAATTTCTTGACTGATGCTGCTCTTAAATTTTGTTGCATTCATCGTTTATCGTAATTTTACTCTGATTCGATTTGATTTGATTTCACGGTGATTATTGTGAAATTCGTTCGAATAAAAATTGATCAGGTTGTTCAATTTTATAATTTATGCGTTGTTCATGTAAAATGTTAAATTAATACTGTGACTTGATTTATATCTAATTTTATTCAAACAATACGCTTCAGTTAGTAAAGATATACTAAATCTTATTTCGACAATTTATAGAATATAGAATAAAGACGATTGATTTTTACTATTTTGAATGCGTAGGAAATATTATGAACACATTGAATTCTCTTTATTAAAAAAATTTAATACGTCACATCCCGACGTGATGCTAAAAGTGCAGCGTGCAAAGAAATACAACGTAGAAAGAAATGCGATTGCATATCTTGTTATTTAAATGAAACTTAACGAAGGTTAATGTATGACCGATCAAAAATAAAAAAAGAAAAAAAGTATCGATCGATCGAAGGTTATCGTGCACTCGCTTTCTATACTTGTTACTAATACAAAATATTTGTGGTAGCTTGTGATTCATTCACGTTTAAATAAATACAAGATTATCCTCTTCTCAACTGAGTATGTCTTGCCACTCGTCTTTCGAATAATGTCACAGTTTAACAATTTAACGTTGTGTTGAACAACAAATGCTCGCACATATTCATTCTTACACAAGTCAAATAATCGCATAAACGGATAAATAAGTAGTAAAACAATCACTTTCCCTTCCGAGAATCATTGCCACACGTCTGTGAGGAATTATGGCGTAATTGTTCCTTTCTAATCGTTTGCTACAACCAGTTGGGAAATTCAACGCTTTATTTCACATTTATGAAAGGAAAAGGAACATATTTGCAAATAATGTTTAAAATGTTTTTGTACATTCTGTTAACTGGATTATCATTGCCGTGTAAAAAGATAGAGTTTTATTCAAGTCTTGGGTTAAATGTAAAATCTCGAAATTTCTTGAACACATCATTTGTGTAAAAGACATATTTACAATACAAGTTGAAAATAATCCTGTACATTGTTGTATTCTGTTAATCATATTATCATTATTATCATTTTAAGAAAATAAAAATTTATCTTGTATTAAATATATAATCTAAAATATAAAATCTCAGAATCTCTTGGAAAACTTGGATTGTTTAAATGATGATTCTATCATATCACGTTACAATTATGAGTATAAATATGTACGAAGTATATATCACAGCAAGCATGACAGCGTCCATTATATTAAATTCATGCAACCAAGAGTTTCACTTCTATACTACTTTTGCTACAGAAAAGGTGTTTATTAAATCTTTCTGCAATCATATTACTCATAATTCAAGTATGTCCTCTTTTCTTTTTTTTATAACTCCAATTAAAAATTAGTGGCGAACATCTATTATATTGAATTATCATTGCAATCATAATAACATCGTAAATAATGATTTTCGTACAATAAATTAAACAATAAATATTCAAAAATAATAAATCTTATATTTAATATTATTGAATTTAATATTGAATTTAATATCCATTCTATCGAAGACACACTTACAGATTACTCGAGACAAGATTAATCAGATCAGAATTAATTTATTTTTATTAATTACTAATTATATCATCTTAGCATCTGTAAATAGGAAGTGACGAAATAATAGGATAGTTAACGAGTTAATAATTAAAGGTACTATGATATAAAGAACCTAAGAATTTAATATTCCAATTTATATTATTTTAGATAATCTTTCTACATCATACAAGGCCAGGATTAATCTACTTTTATTAGCATCTGATTTTGATAGTTGTAGCAGTCTATAGTTAGGAAATGATAGTCAATAATTATCTATATTAGGATACAGAGACATTGAATTTAACATTCTTCATATCAAAGATGTGATTAATCTACTTTTATTAGCTACTAATTTTATAGTTGTAGCAATCTATAGTTAGGAAATGATAGTCAATAATTATCTATATTAGGATACAGAGACATTGAATTTAACATTCAAAAATGTGATTAATCTACTTTTATTAGCTACTAATTTTATAGTTGTAGCAATCTATAGTTAGGAAATGATAGTCAATAATTATCTATATTAGGATACAGAGACATTGAATTTAACATTCTTCATATCAAAGATGTGATTAATCTACTTTTATTAGCTACTAATTTTATAGTTGTAGCAATCTATAGTTAGGAAATGATAGTCAATAATTATCTATATTAGGATACAGAGACATTGAATTTAACATTCTTCATATCAAAGATGTGATTAATCTACTTTCATTAGCTACTAATTTTATAGTTATATTAGCTACTAATTTTATAGTTGTAGCAGTCTATAGTTAGAAAATGATGTCTATAGTCAATAATTATCTATATTACGATACAGAGACATTGAATTTAACATTCTTCATATCGAAAATGTGATTAATCTACTTTTATTAGCTACTAATTTTATAGTTGTAGCAGTCTATAGTTAGGAAATGATAGTCAATAATCATCTATATTAGGATACAGAGACATCGAATTTAACATTCTTCATATCGAAGATGTGATTATTCTACTTTCATTAGCTACTAATTTTATAGTTGTAGCAGTCTATAGTTAGGAAATAATGTCTATAGTCAATAATTATCTATATTACGATACAGAGACATTGAATTTAACATTCTTCATATCGAAGATGTGATTAATCTACTTTCATTAGCTACTAATTTTATAGTTATATTAGCTACTAATTTTATAGTTGTAGCAGTCTATAGTTAAGAAATGATGTCTATAGTCAATAATTATCTGTATCATTGAATTTAACATTCTTCATATCGAAGATGTCGATTACCACCAAGAATCTTTCTACACGACACACTTCTATTCGATCAGATCAAAATTAATTTGTTCCTATTATAAATATAATTTAGCAGTCTGTGGTTAAGAAATAATCAGAATTGATTAACAAGTTAACAAGTGAAAGCACTGTGATGTAAAATTTGATATATTATGTTGAATTTGATATTCCTCTTATCGAAGATGGAACCAATATATCATTGAATCTTCTTGCACGATATACTTATAGATTATTTTATAGGGGGGAGGGGGGG